CTGGTGGCCCAACTGCGCTTCCCCGGTTTCCCATTCATCCAGCTGCCCTACTTGATTGATGGGACTCACAAGATCACCCAGAGCAACGCCATCATGCGCTACATTGCCCGCAAGCACAACCTGTGTGAGTGTGGTTTGTTACAGTGTGTGGGGGGAAGGTGGCCTCCTCCTTGACTGGATTGGAGTGCGATGCTCAGAGTGAGTCTGTGTTTTGTGGGTGGCAGGTGGGGAGACAGAAGAGGAGAAGATTCATGTGGACATTTTGGAGAACCAGCTTATGGACAACCGCATGGAGCTGGCCAGACTCTGCTTTGACCCAAATTTTGTGAGTCCTGCACCCCACTCCCAGTGACCCCTTTCCCTGGCTTCTGGCCCAGACCAGAGAAGGACTCACAAAGTCAGGCCTGTAGCGAACCCCGGCCTGCTGATTGGAAACATCTACAGCCTGGTTCTCCAAAGTATCCACACGAATCATCTCCTCTTCTGAAGATTCGTGTGGACATTTTGGAGAACCAGATCATGGACAACCGCATGCAACTGGTCGTGATCCGCTACAACCCAGAATTTGTGAGTCTCCCCAGTGATCTGCACCTGGCAGAGTTTGGATTTGGGGCCAGGACTCTTGCATTCCTGCACACACTGGTCTTTCCTTAAGTCCTTGGTACCACTCATCCTCCAAGTGCTTTCCAATACTATCAACAGTTATTCTCACGACTCCAATGTCAACAAAAGCAGAGGCAATTCCCAGCAATCTTAGGACACGATCCAGGCACCCCAGGGTAGAAATTCAATTCCTAGATGGTAAAGTTTGTGTTCCGAATCTCCTTCATTGCCTCTGGCCTGTGTCATGGGTCATTTCTGTCAGCTAGTTCACATCACCTACCTGCTCCTAGAATATATAGACTCAAGTACAAGATAGAGGAATGTAATGGCACTCTTGAATTGCATCTTCTCAATAGTTTCCAAGTGCTGTCATTGACATACACAGGGATCCACACATTTTCATAACAGACAGCTCAGAGCCAGCCAGAAGGTGGCTCTCCCTTCTTCCTTTCAACCTGAACTTCTCATCTCCCTGGAAACTATTCAACGTTCATTGTTTTCTTCTGCCAGCGCATGAGAAGGAACTTTCTGCTTCTTTCCCTGAGCTCCTGTAGTTCTTTGCATCCTTGATTCTGCCCATGTCTGGGTCCAGAGGTTGCCAGGTGCTCAGGCGCTCCTGGGGCTGACCCAGAGGCCATTGGGAGGACAGTGAGGACAGATTCAGGGACAGCATCTCATTCCTCTCTGCCTTCTGATCACTTCAGATAGGGTCTGGCACCCAGTCAGAGTCTAGTAACTGCTGATGTATCCAGCTGAAGCCTGGGCACTGCCCCAGTTTTAGTTGCAGGGAAGACGGCTGCTTGCCCACGGGCAGCCTGGGCCATCCACAACCCCGGGGAGGCCATGTCTATGCAGGGAGCTTTTGTCTGAGGGTGGTGACAGCTGTTTTCTGCCTCAGGAGAAACTGAAGCCAAAATACTTGGAGGAACTCCCTGAAAAGCTAAAGCTCTACTCACAGTTTCTGGGGAAGCGGCCATGGTTTACAGGAGACAAGGTAAAGGAGGAGTGCAATGGGGAATGAGATTTGTTTTCCTTCATGTGTTACGGGGTTTTCATACCACACATTCTTGGCCTTCTGCAGATCACCTTTGTGGATTTCCTCGCCTATGATGTCCTTGACGTGAAGCGTATATTTGAGCCCAGCTGCCTGGACGCCTTCCCAAACCTGAAGGACTTCATCTCCCGCTTTGAGGTGATGCCCCCATCCTCCTTTCTCTTTGATGCCCCTTGTTCCATTCCCTCCTTTGAGACGCTTTCCCAGTCCTGGAGCTACACAAAGAATAACTTGCATTTATTGAGTGCTGGCTTTATGCCAGGAACTGTGCCCAGCACATTATACCTATTATGTGGCATTTGAACTTTACAATATTCCCACAGGGTGACAGAATTATCTTGCCTGTTTTAGAGATAAGGAAACTGAGAATGAGAGGGTCAGGCATTTGCTC